TACAAGTCACTAAAAATGACAATGGAAACAACTTCATAGTGACAATGGAACCAACTTCATATTTTTAGAATGTGGAAAATCTATTTTCAAGTTTGATGAGAAACAGGCACTGTCAGAGGATGGGGGGAAAATCAGAAGAGCGTCCGGAGGCACACACTATTAGATCTGCCTCACTCAATCTGCTTTTTAATAGAGTCACCAGGGCAATTTGCTGTTATCGTAATCTGACACTTGCATGAAATATCCCTTGCCGTCTTGAAAAACAAAAACTCTACTTTCTGCAACAGAATACAGTACCCATCGAGGTGGCAGCTAGAGCCAACACCAAGGGTTAAAGATCGAAAAACCTCTACGAAAATCTAGCCCTCTTTAATTTTTTGTGAAAGCAGTGGAAGATCTGAAAATTTGTTCACAAGCAGGAGTATTTGTGAATAAAAAGAAAATTGCAAATAATAAAAAAAAAGGGACCAAAAAAAAAATTTTCTTTTAAATCTTTCCAATTCACATAAATTTATCTGTCCATAAAGGTGACAGAAAGGAGACTTTAGTATCACGATGGCTGTGCCAAGAAGCACAGAAGCAAAATGCATCCACCCACCACCACCATACCCATGTCCTTGTGACTCCTTTCTGGAGTCATCACAAGTTGTAAAAAACAAGCTGGACCTAGGAGAAAACACTAGGCCTACTGGGGAGTTGGAATTCTCTTACCAACCCAGTAGTAATGAGATGCACCTGCCTTGGCTGTCAACAAAAGCCAAGTGGGGAACCTAGACTTTTACCCTACTAGGCAGCGACAAAGCTATTCCCTGCCAGAGTATAATCAGAAATGCCCTTAGGATAAAGAAACACTGATCAGTGGCCTGGTGGGAAGATTTTCACAGTAGGCTCTTTGGTATTCTCTCAATCATGAACTGTTAATAAATACAAAACAATCACAAGACTGCTAATAAATATAAAACAAGCACAAGACAATGCTGAAAAGTGGAGAAAAGAAGGCAGACCAATCAGGGACTTCAGGAAACAAGGAATGACAGTGTGATCCCTGGGCTTTTTCTCTGCATCATACATTCACCCTTCAGCTGAAGAAGCTGAAAACACCATTATGACACAGACAAAAGATATTTAAGCAAAAGGCTACTCTCTCTAGCTAAAGGAACAGAGTAGCCCATAGACAATAATTGCTCTACTCCAACCAAAAACCATAGGAAAACACTGTGGTCCCACCTCACCTATGCCATCTGGAGCCAAATGAGAAGTCTGACTTCTGTTTTTGCCATACTTTAGTGAGCAAAACAAACCCTTCGGAGAAGGTCTAGTAGACAGCTGGGACTTTTCTCACCACTGAGAATTAATGACATGCTCCTTTTACTCCGTACTGGATGTCTAAGGACGTCTTGTGAGAGTAAGGACTGTCATTGCCCAAAGGTAACAAGGCCCCTCGGCTTTGGTGTCAGTGCAGACCATGTGAGTGAGGTGCAGTAATGAATAACCCCTATCACTCACTCCTGACATCAGTGGAGGCCTAGTGGGTAGCTTGAATTGAGACCTGTTCAGACTGTCAACAACAGCCTTGTGGAGAGCCTGTATTTCTACCCGCACCAGGCAGTAACAAGGCAGTGCTTCCCTGTTCCCTACCAGAAGACAACCAGAAACACCCACTAAAACAAAAGGTCTAAATAAAATCCAGTCTCATAACATAATATCCAAAATGTCTAATTTTCAATCAAAACTCACTCATCATATTAAAAAAAAAATTCATAGATGCCAATAACGACACGGCAGAGATCATACAATTAATTGACAGACATTTCAAAGCAGTTGTCTTAAAAAATATTTCAATGAGAAATTATGAAATGCTTGAAACAAATGGAGAAACAGAAAGTCTCACTAAATAAATAAACATATAAAGAAGAACCATATAGAAATCTTGGAACTGAAAAATGTAAGAATAAAAATAAAACTCAATGGATGGGCTTAACACTAAACAGAGGGAATTAAAGAGTCAGTGAACTAGAAGACAGAAAAACAGGTATTACTCAATGAGAATGACAAGAAAAAGAACAGATTCTGAGGGACCTGTTGAACTACAATAACATTTGTGTCACTGTTGTCCTGGAAGATAAGAAAAAAGAGGTTAAGGCTGAAAAATTTCCCCCAAATGGCAAAGAATATAAGCTTACACATTAAAAAGTTACTGAGTAAATTTTGATCTCAAATGCGTGATTACTACAAGGTGTGCATACCTAGTCACTAGTGTTATTGTTTCCCTTACAGATTTGTCTATTGTTTGGCTGAAAACTGATTCATGGGGTGAGTTCAGTTCCAGACCTAGAGGGTGACTAAGGGCCAGTCTCAGGGTTCCACTAGTCTCTATCCAACCACTAAGCCTGGTCCTTTTTTATGATTTTGAGTTTTGGTTCACATTTTTCTCCCACTCTATGCTGGACCTTCTAACGTGACCCTTTCAAAGAAACTGGTAGTGGTAGCTGGGCAGAAGTGTTAGGAAAGAAGGAAGAATGGAAACAAGAAACAAAGGAAGGAAGATGTAGTAAGTGATGTTACACTGAGGGGATTGTGATCAATGAGATGAAATACAATGTGTATGAATTGAATTGTTGAATGGAAAACTGATGATGATCTGCTCTGTAAGCATTCACGCAATTTACACACATAAAGTTTTAAAAAGTATTGTGTGACTCCCAAACACAATATGTCACTGTCAAACTCCTAAAGAGAAAACATGTGGGCTAGAACAAAGTGCCCTGATTTTCTAAGTGCTGAGAAAAAAGAATCCTAGAATCCTATATACTGCATAAAAGATCTTTTTAAAAAATAAAAGGACATACATCAAGACAATCTCAAATAAAAGTATCAAAGAGAATCTGCCATTAGCAGATTTACCCTAAAGAAAGCTTTTAAAAGGAAGTTCTCTAAACCAAAAGCAAAAATAAAAAAAGAATCTAGGAAGTCCAGGAAAGAAAAAAGAATACAGTAAGAAAAATATGTGTATATATGATTTTCCTTTTTCTCCTGAGTTTTCTAAATTATTAGGCAAATTTGCTACACAAGATCTCTTTAAAGTGTTATAGAGCAATAATATCAGTTCGAGGACTAGGTGTGTCTGACCCATGCCTTGGTATTTTCTGTATTCTCATATGCATGTGCAAGTTGGACAGTGAATAAGGAAGACAGTAGAAGAATCAACGCATGTTGGAGAAGAGTATTGGAAGTACTATAGACTACTAGAACAAACAAACCCATGTTGGAAGAAGTACAGCAGCAGTGGAGGCTGCTAGGTCAGGTCACCATGGGCAACAGAGGCCGTCCTGCTGAGAGTGGGTGCCAAGGTGTGGGGAGGCGGCCCGATTTGCAGTGTGTGCCACCGGGATCCTGCTCTCCAGCCACACCTACCAAATGGAGTGCGAGGACTTGGACCCCGAGCCCTGGACTCTCTGCGACTTGGGACTTTGGGCCAAGTGCTCCTCCACCCTGGCCTCCAGGTGGGGTTGAGGATTTGGTCTTTTGGGTTCCATTTTTGGACTTATGTTTTATGTACTACAATGACTTCTTGGCCTGACAGCAGCACAGTGGCAGCCCTGATCCTCAGGACGTTGTCCACTGGGTCTGTCCTGGGGCCCTCTACCTGGCCTACATTCTGTACTTCGTGTTCAAGGAGTTTTGCCTCATCTGCTTCATCACATATGTGTGAACTTCCTCCTCCTCATCAACTACAAACAACTGCTTTACTTGGATGAGGCTAGACAGGCAGCTGTAACCCAGGCAGGACTGATGGCTGACAGACTCCTTAACAGACAGTCTCAAGTCCCTTGTCCACTAAGTTGATTTTGCAACAATTTATTTTTTAAAATTACAACACTCTCCAACAATCTTCAACTGATATTTTAAAATCCTCTAAACTCAAGGGGACCTTAGGTATTTTTCTGTCTTCAGTTTAAATATGGATACAAAAAAATAAAGGATACGCAGAGCCAATCAAAGGCAAGCCTTAACTTTGCTTTGAAGATGTTTCTGAAGTAATAAAATGTCACCCTGCCTGACCTTAGATGTGATGATGGAGAGACTGTCTCTTGGACTTTGGACATGTTGTCCATAGGGACCAGTCCCTAGAGAACACCATGTTTGGAAACATGGAGGATCAGAGAAAAAAAGAGGAAGACCTCAATAAGCTGGACTGACACTGTGACAGCAGCAACAAGGGCTCAAGCATAAAAAGAATTGTGAGGATGGTGCAAAACCAAACAGTGTTTCATTCTGTTGTGCAGAGTCGGAATCAACTAGATGGCACCTAACCACCACCACCACCACCACCACCACCACAACCACCACCACCCAATTCTTTTGAAATTGTTGTAGTTCTCCCTCTCCTTCTCACTCAGTCACCTATAAACACTCCCATTCTCAGGCTATCAGACACAAAATAAAAATATTCAAAAATATTATCAAACCAGGAAAAGCCCAACCTTAGCAGACTCTGACTCATTCACAAGTATAAAATTTCTCACTTTTGTTGCTACTTGACCATTAATAGTAAAATTTCAGAGAATGTTTGCAAAAAAAGGGTCACCATTTTCAGGATTTAAAATTATAAACATTTCTTAAAAAATTACAGCATACTCAAATCATTATCTGCTATTTTACTGAAAACCACTGGAATGAAAAGGTTGAGATTCCCCTGGACATTTTTCAAGAATTATTTTAAAAAATTAAAGAAGCTCTGATACCACAGTGGTCATGAGTTGGGCTGCTAACCTCAAGTGCAGCAGTCTGAAAATACCAGTTGTTTCACAGGAGAGATGAGACTTTCTGCTTCTGTAAAGATTTAGTCTTGGAAACCCTATACAGTATGGCTATGAGTCAGAATCGACTCCACGGCACACCACCACCACCATTTAAAAAATCAAGTTCACTATTTCTTGGTAATACATTACCCTTCCTAAGCAGGAACATTCTTCCCACCAAGAAAAGGCTGCACTTACCTGGCCTGGTCAATTCACTGAAAAGATGAAGTAGAAAGCAGGGGTCATAAAGGTCACTGAGATCCGCGATGCTCTTGTCTTTAAATATTTCCTGTGCATCCTGAATAAGCCCCAAACAAACAGAAACACAAGATACAACCTCATAAATGTAACACCATGCAAAGGCTTACCCACTATTTCTAGAATCCAAATTATTTTGAATAGTGAAAGAGCATAAAAACATGGAATTCTACAAAAGATAAAGAGCAAGCACTGATACAGCAGTGTGGGATTGCTTCAAAATAAGTTGGGAAGGGTAGACTACATATGAAACAAATTTGGCCAGTGCTGATAATTGTTGAGGTATGGGCATGAGTAAATGAGTGTCTAGTCACTAGACTTTTGTATAGGGCTGGAATTTTACATAATGAAAGAACTGCAATAACAAAACCACAACTCCTCTATTTAATGGCACGATTAAGCTTAAAATGACAACAAGAGCCCTTGGGAAGAAAAAAGTGATCTACTACCATGGTGTTAACTCCCAGTCACAGAGACCCCATAGGACAGGGTAGAAATGTTCCCTATAGTTTTCAAGTCTGAGAATCTTTATGGGACCAGACAGCCTCAGCTTTCTCCTTTACACCAGCTGGTGGAGCTTGAACCATCGACCTTGGGGTTAGCAGCCCAACATTTAACCAACTGCACCACCATGGCTCATTTGGAGGAAAAGGAGGCAGAATCCCACCCTCCACCTGAATGTTCCCTGACACCTCAACAGCATATGTGACCACACCTCAGGTGGTAGCAGCTTCCGGTTCTGGGGGAAATGCAGGACAGTCTTCAAAACCCGGTCCCGATCCAGCAGGCGGAGGATGTCTCCGACACTTGGCTGCTGCCACAGTGACTTGCCCAGGCTTCGGCACGTCTTATGATGATCCACAGCTGCAGGGCCCCACATCAGCACCCTAGAGCCAGAAAGAGGAAAGCTGACTGGTCCCAGGGTCCCACCAGGAACCGATTAATCACCATGATGACGACCATCGATGTTGCTGTTGTTAAGTACCGTCAAGCCGATTCTGACTCACGGTGACTCTGTGTAGGGTTTCCGTAGCACTGCTGGTAGGTCTGATCCGTCAACCCCAGTCCAGTTATTACCTTACAGTGCCACACCAGGACCATAATTAGAAGCATTTATCGAGCAGCAAGTACATGCCTAGTGCTAGTCTGCATGTTAGAGGTGATGTATCACTTATTTCCCACACAATCTATGAAGTATGGGGTGCTGACAATGTTGCTGATAATAACAGAAACTAACATCCTACACATAGAGCGTCTTATGTGCCAGGCACGAATCTAAGCCCTTTGCCTATGTTCACTTAATCTTCATAGCAACTCTGGAAGGTGTTGCTGTTAAGTGCCATCGAGTCGCTTCCAATTCACAGTGACCCTGTACGGGGTTTCCAAGGAGCAGCTGGTGAGCTCAAACCACCGACCTTGCAGTTCAAACCGACTTCACTTATTTGGCAAACAGAAAAAAGAAGGAAAATTCTTAGCTGGTCCCTTACCCTGCGATTCTAACTTGGCAAGTCTGATGTCAGAGACGTACTAGACCAAGGCTGCAGAGCCGGGGCTGTCTGCTGCTGCTGCAGACCTCTCCTTATTCACACTCGGCCTGCCTTGGGGCCGCCCCAAGACTACACAAGGCTGTACTTTTTTCACTCCCACCACTCTCCTGGCGTCCCTCCTGCTTCCCTTATATCTTCCCCTACTCTCACCCCTCCACTTTCCCACTGGCAAGGATACATCCCCAAAGACCACTCTGGCGAGGGCCCCTTCCCTACCTGAAATGTCCATCAGTTCTCTGCTTGCTGCCTATTCGAAGAATATGGAAATGCTTCAGCCTGGTACTTAGGGCCTTGAACCAATTTTTCTGGCCTGTCCTACACACAATCTATGATCCAGCGACTCTCAATGACTCTGTATAGTTTCTGCGGAACTGCTGGTGGGTTTGATCCGCCAACCTCAGTCCAGTGCTTATCTTACAGTGCGACACCAGGACCATAATTAGAAGCAGTTACCTTTTATGATCTGCTCTCCATTCCCTGAAATGCTCTGACTTCCCCAATTCCAAACCACCCTGCACGCTGTGGTTCCTGCCACAGGTGGGCTAGGCTCCCGTGCCCTGCTCACCTCAACCAAACTCATTCCAATGCTTCAGGAAGCCTCCCTGATGTTCCTAAGCAGATGCTACCTTTCTCTTGTTCCACAACACTCACTTCACATATGTGGCTGAATGAAATGCCAACTAAAGAGTTAAGTTTGTGATAATCATACCCCCTCAACAGATTAAGGGGGCTGTTTCTATCCTCTATGCATTCCTCATAGTACTGATCATAGCACCTTGCCAACAGCTGCTGCTCCTGTTGTTAAGTACTGTCAAGTCAGTTCCCACTCACTGTACAGGGTTTCTGAGGTTATAAATCTCTGTGGGAGCACAAAGCCTGATCCTTCTCTTGCAGAGTGGCTGCTGGGTTCAAACCACAAACCTTGTGGTTCACAGACCAGTGCTTACCCTACAGAGCCACGATGCTCCCCTGTCAACAGCTAGTGACCAACAGACCATTCTTCCAAATACAGGCTCATTTTTATACAATACTCAAGTTAAAAAAGGAATCATTTTTAAAAGACAGCGTCCCCTGTCGCTGATGGTTTCTAGCAAGCAGGCAGCTGATACACAGGAAATGCCCTGCCATCCAGCAAGGTGACCTAGCCCGGGCAGTCCTTGCCAACAGAAACAGTCCTGTGATGTTATTCAGGCTTTCCCTAAGGCAGTCCACGCTCAAGTCGGTGTGTACTGAGCTAGCGGAATTCACCTTGTCTTGAGAGCTAAAAAGGAGACAGAAAAGATTTCAAATGCAGAGTTTATGGTGCCACGTGCACTAGTCTCTAGGTGGGTGCTCACCTGAAGTCGATGAGGCTGAGGTCATTCTTTTCATATGACTGGAGGAGAAGCAAAATCTTCTGGTCTAGAAGGCAAATGAGGGTCTGTTTAAGAAGCTGAATCCCTTATATATTCCCCCAAGAGATACTACCTCACCTTCACTCACTCCCCAGGGGCACATCCCCTCATCACATTCTCACCCAGGCCATCACCTCACAACCCCACTCTCACATCTCTGTGCTACACCCCTCTATCCTTACATACCCCCTAGTCACATTCCCCATCCTCACACATTCCCTGGTCACACAACCTCATTCTTACAACCTCCCTGGCCACACACCCCATTCTCACACACTCCCTGGTCACACCCCCCATGTTCACACACTCCCTGGTCACACACACCCATCCTCACACATTCCCTGGTCACACCTCTCCACATACTCACATACTCCTTGGTCACACACACCCATCTTCACATACTTCCCGGGTCACACTACTGTCCTCACACTCTTACTGAAGTCACAGTCCCATCCTTGCACACTGCCCAGGTCACACCTCCCATCCTCACCTACTCCCTGGGTCACGTCCCCTTGTCCTCACACTCTCACCAAAGTCACAGTCCCATCCTCACACATTGCCCAGGCCACACTCCCTGGTCACACTCTCACCAAAGTCACAGTCCCATCCTCACACACACTGCCAGGTCACACCCGCATCCTCACGTACTCCCCAGGCCACACCCATCCTTACACTCTCACTGAAGTCACAGACCCCTCCTCACACCCTCACCCAGGACGCTGAGTGTAGCACCATAGGCCCCAAGAAGCACTGCAAAGTGGCTGCTCTCACAAACAGAGGGGCACATCTTTACCACTGCTGACATCAGGTCCACCAGCGCTTCTGGAAGAAAATAAAACTGAAACACACAGCCCAGTCTACGGCACATTCAGAACAAAAGTCGAGGGCTACTCATTTCAAGACACATGTCACTGTTTACCAATACCCCGCTCTTTGCTTTCTTTCCCTATGCCTTGTTTTCGTTTTTTAAACTAAACAAACACAACTTCACAATCACCTCTGTTGCTAGGTCCTTGACAAAGCATGGAGTCCCTCTCCACCTCAACTTTGCAGCCACTAGATTTTTACTAAGCATTTTCCCCATGATTATGTTACCAAAATCTCTACTACTTCTACCTCTGCTTAAACAAAAAGGCAAAATCCTTGTTAGTCTTCCTGCCACTCACACTACTTATTTGAATAGTGCTCCTCTTCAATTTAGCAGTCTAACTCTGTGGTGACTTCTAATGTGTTTGGGACGAGCATATTGCCGATCAGAGTTATGGAGATAAGCATGGACGCATTGCTAGTACGACAAAACCAGGAGGCAACACATACATCTGAAATGCAAGGGCAGGGAGAAGATCACCTTTCACTTGGCTGCCTGGGTTTTCCTCTCCATCAGACGTCAGCATAGTTGACAAAAACAGAGAATGCTGGGTAAGCATCATATGTATCGTGGGGGGCTGGACAAGCTTCGTGCGCAGAGGGCTTTCTGGGACATACAAGACTTGTAGGGCAGCAAGGAGTGCCTTTAAGAATGCATGATCCTGATATCGGAATCTAAGAGGCAAGAAACAAAAGAATGAAGAGTTTCACTACAAGACGACAACAACAACAAAAAGAAACCCAGCTGCCGTTAAGCAGCTCATGGTGACCCCTGTGTGAGAGTAGAACTGTGCTCTACAGGGCTTTGAAAGAGTGAATTTTCTGAAGTACATCACCAGGCCTTTCTTTTTGAAGCAACTATGCAAATACTGGAACCTCTAACATTTTGGTACTGGTTAAGTGCTCAGCTGCTGTCTTGCATGTCAGCAGTCCAAATCCACCAGTCACACAACAAGAAAAAAACATGGCCACCTTGGAAAGATTACAGTCTTGGAAATCCTCTGGGGTCATTCTACTGGGTCCTATAGGGTCCGTCCCTGGGAGTCAGAATTAACTAGAAAATACACAACAAGTATGTTCATTGTACCACCCAGGAGCTCCTGAGTGTCTCTGAAGGGGATTTTTATTTAACAGAGAACAGTTCAAAACTTTTTCTCACCTTTTATTAAGAGCATTTTCATACATGCCACGCAGTTGAGGAATTTACAGTGACTATATGGAACACCATCATCTAGGTTCTAACCATCGGTACTGCATCAAACCTGTTCTACCATAGACCCAACTCTCTCAGCCACTGCTGGGGGCACTTCTCAACATGAGGGAGGGATGGATGGGTACTTATGACTTTTGATGACACAAACCCCAAACTCACTTCCTGCTTATATGAAATGCTAAACAGCAGCAGAACAGCCAAGTCTGAGTACAGACAACCCTCCATCCCTCCCAAGCCAACTTGCCAGGTCAGCCCAAATTCCCGTTCACACACAGCTCCCTCCTTTCTTCCTTTCAGTTATTCAAAACATTCATCACACAGTTCAGAAGCATGTGTTTTCTATTTCCTAAATCCCCTCAGAACCCATGAAGGGAATTTAAAGCACAATGATCTAGAAATCCAAGTGTTAAAGTGGTATCTGAATTATGTTAAGAATCACTCAGCAAATGCAGGCATTCCAGAAACACAAGTTTAGAACTAAAGAAAGAATAAAATGTTTCTATAAGGGCAATGGAAAGTTGTCAATCAAATAATCTGACTCACCTTCATTTTTTTCTCTCCTGGGTATAAAAGTATTTTTCTCTGTTTCAAGATCACAGATAATCAGGGAAATGAAAATAACAGTGAGAATCAAACACCACTTTATGGCTCTCTGACTGCTTAACCAAAGCGAGACCACATCAGGTGCTAACAGGACGCAGGGGAAAGGAAACTCACTCAAATCCACTCAACAACTCTGCAGAGTACTGTGAAGACCTGGTGAAAATGAAGTGTGTCCACAAGGACAGGCAGCAAGTCCCCTCTCCTGGAGAAACTGCCGCATGGACACTGAGAGACCATGATGCTGACTACGTGTTAACAGCCAAAGAAAGAAAAAGAAATAACCTAGATTCCTGTTCATTAGTAAGGGACTGATCACGAAAATTACGGTACAGTCATAAAATGGACCATTCTAGAGCAGTCAAAATAAATGACTTAAAAATGAATGTATCGACCTGGATACATCAAAAAACATGTAATAAAAAAAGTACACAGAATGATGATGTTGTTAGCTGCGGTTGAGTGGGTCCCCCAACACATGGTGACAGAACAAAATGTCACCTGGCCCTGCATCAACCCCATGATCGGTCAAGGATTGGACTACTATGATCCATGGTTTTTATTAGCTAATTTTCAGAAGGAAATCACCAGACCTTTATTCCTACTCTTTGTCTGGAAGCTTCACTGTAACCTGTTTAGCAGCATCAGAGCAACATACAAGCTTCTACTGACAGATGGGTGGTGGCTGCCCATGCGGTGCTTTGGCTGGGAACTTGTGTAAAATATTAAAGCCACAAAACAACAGAATCTCTTGTTTAAAGAGGCATACTGACATATAATGAAAGCATGAAAACTGACATGGACATGACAGAGCTCAACATAAGTAGAGTGATGACCTCCAGGGAAGGAGGGAAGAGAATGAGTTAGGACAAATATCAAAACCAGACAGCAATTAGTAACTGCGGGTGCTGCTATATTAAGCTTTTAAAAATATTTTATTTTCTTAAGGGTTGTTTCTATCATCACGATCAAGCGCACACTGCATGTCAATATGCTCACACTGTCAATAACCCAAAGCTTCCTTCTCTAAAACAAGAATATCTGCTCTACACGTAAGTGGTGTGGTAGTTGACTTTCAGGTGGCCTTTCTGTCCATGCATGGTCTGGTAACGCCCATCAAATGACTGGTGGGGCTATGCAAATGATGTGCATGGCACCATTGTCGGGGTGATGTTGTGTGCCATCAAGTTGGTTCCGACTCATAACGACCTTGTATAGGTTTTCTGAGAGCAGTTGGTGGGTATGAACTGCTGACCCTGTGGTTAATGCAGTTAGCAGTCAGTCCAGTGCTTATCCTTTCATCCCACGATGAAAGACACCAAGAGAAAACCTAAAGGGGTATTGGTCACCATTCCACTTGTCTTAAAACAAGTCATCCAGGGGCAGAAAGGGAAAACCACTAAGAAAGAAGAGCTAGGAATAGAGCATACTTTGGACCCTGGATCCTTGAGCTCAGAACCTCCTAGACCCAAAAGACAGAGAGCAAGTTTAACAGTGGAGATGGTGTGAGAAGTAGTGGCAGAGAAATAGCAGGAGAAGAGACAGCAGAACTAAGAGACTGGCAGAAGGTGGTGTGGTGGGTTTCCTGGTCCAGGGAGTGAAAAAGTTGAGGACCTTTGGACCAAAGCTTATTGGCAGACAAGGGTGCCACTGGTGGAGCAAAAGAGCTTTGCAACATTATCTGTGTAAAGAAGAGACCGAACAAGCCCAAGAGGTCAGGGGCTGAGAAGCCAAGGGCCAGGGAAAGACCTATCTGTGTGCACAGCTGAGAGGCTGTCCTACCTAGAAAATTGTATCCTGACTGATTCCTGATCCTGAATTGTAACCTGTGACTTTCCAAATACACTCCATAATCATGAGTATTGTCTGTTGAATTCTGCATGGCCACTGGAATGAATTATTAAACCCAGAGAGTAGAGAGTACTGTAGGAGTGACGGTTACTGTCAGAATTGGTAGAAAGGTTGGAAAGATAAGGTATGTATGACCTCCACCTCAGAGGAAAAGAGCTTTGAGCTGTTGGTCTTGAGCCTCTTTCCCCCACCACATCAACACAGACTTTACATTATCAGTGACATTCACGACTTTACTGAATCACACAAAGAAAATAAAAGCAGCTTACTTGAGTCCAGTCTTCACAAATTTCTGCCAATCACCAGGATCAACTTCCTTAAGTGAATGCTATGAAAAAAGTAAACAAAAGAATAAACATGAGACATAGTCTAAGAGGACACCACGGTCAATTGGCATAACGGAGTCCACAAAGACAATGTTCTACATTCTACTTTGGTGAGTAGCAACTGAGGTCTTAAAAGCATGTGGGTGGATGGGTGGACATCTAAGGTACAACTTTTGGGTCTCTCCCTGTCTACAGGATAAAAGAGAGGAAAACTGAATACATAAGGAAGCAATTAGTCCAATGAACTAATGGAACATAGAGCATCAAGTCCCTACAACCCTAAAACCAGAACTAGATGGTGCCCAGCTAGTACTAACTGTTCTGAAAGGGATCATATTACAATGTTCGGGAGGGAGTGAATGAAAATGTGCAACAAAACTCCAAATCGTAAAACAAAAACAAGTTTCCTGGTTGGAAAGAGACTGGTGGAACTCTGAGACTAAGGTCCTTAGTCACCCTTCAGGTCTGGAAACTGAACTCACCCCCGGGGTCAATTTTCAGCAAAACAGACTGGTATATAGGGGAGACAATAACTCCAGTGAGGTATACACACCATAGATGGTCATAAATTTGAGATCAAAAGGGCAGCATTTATCCAAGGACAAAATTCTGAAGAGTTGGGCAAGGAGGAGAATTGGAAACTAGAAGCACAGGGAGGAAGTGGGGTAAGTCATGTTCCATTGAAGAGTTTGCAATGAATGCGATGAAACAAAATATGTACGATTTGTTGAATGTAAAACTGATGACATGATCTGTAAGCCTTCATCCATTTTACAATAAAAAGCAAAATAGTAAAATAAAATAAGCATGAAACACTCCAATTAATTTTAAAAACTACTAAATGCTTAAGTTGTATAAGCTTCTAAGAGGCAACTGCTTCTCTGGGCCTAGATTCCTCCACTATAAGGTGTGGGGTCAAAAAGCTGAAAAGGAGGTACTCCCCAGGAGTGAGACCGCTGGGTCCTATAGTATTTCTAGTTCTTGTTTTTTAGGGGAGGACCATACTGTTTTCCATAGTGGGTTTACCACTTTGCAGTCCCACCAGTAACACCTAAGAGTTCTAATGCTCCCCATAGTCTCTCCAACATTTGCTGTTTTTTTTTTAAATCATTGCCATTGTTGCTGGGTCACGATGGCATCTCATTGTAGTTGTGACTAATATCTCTCAAAATGAAATGGCTAATGGCTATGACAACTTGCTTTTCATGTGTTTGTTGGCTGTTTTCTTTGGTCAAGTATTTGTTCATGTCCTTTGTCCAGTTTTTATATTGGATTGTCTTTTTGTTTCTGAAGTGCTGAAGTTTTCTATAAACTTCAGAGATTACATCCTTCTCAGCTATGTTGCTCCCCCCACCCCGTCCCACCCACCCCCAAATTTCATCCTGGTCTGTAGGTTCTCTTTTCACTCTTTTGGTGAAGTCTTTCAAAGAACATAAGTAGATGCAAAAAATTCATAACGAAGTATGAGCCAAACAATATATGAAAAAGATACTACATATCACAACCAGATGAGCATATCTCAAGAATGGCTTAACACTTAAAAGTTAATTAACATAATTCACTATATTAACAAAACCAAAACCATATGATCATTGTCAGTAGATGCCGTATTTGACAATATACAACCACCATTCCTGATAAAGATGGTGGACTTTATCTGACTCCTAGACAGGGTGCCTGCCTCCCATTTCCCACCGGTTACATTTATGCCACCTGGCTTGAAATGCATTTGTAAAGCTTTGTCTATTACGCTCTTCACCTTAAATATCTAATCATCTCTAGAAGCCACACTTACCAACAGCTCATTTAATCTCAGCAGCATTTGCTTCTCTTGATCCTGAGTATTGTCATCATCTTGCTGGCTACCACTAAAAGATACGATCAGCCATTTGATACAGGATTCCAGGAGAATCTTTTCCCAGGCACGCAGCTGTTGTATTGATCCTTCCAAGGCTACTGAGACAGAGTCGGCAACAATCCAACTGCAGTGAAGACAAATGGCATGGCACCAAGTTATAGAAGGTTTTATATGTTATAAAACATACAATGGGCCATTTGGGAAAGATAAACAGAGGTATCTTCCTGTCTTGAGTCCTGCTCCCCACATTACACAATCACAGACTTTCCTTACCTCTTACAGACATCAAAGCTATAACAGTTATGACCAAAGGGAGAGTACTAGCACACCAAAAAAGGTTATTTAACCAAACTTTGTCCAAGTCAGGGTTTCTCAACCTTGGTACTAATGACATTTGGGGCACATAATTCTTTGTTGCGGGAGCTCTCCTGGGCACTGTAGGATATTTAGCAGCATTACTTACTCTAGATAACAGTATCACCACCTTCCTCACAATACCCAAAATGTTCTCTGAGGGGCAAAGTCGCCCATGGTTGAGAACCACCACTTTCCTGGAATAAGAACAAGGGAATCACTTATAGAAATACATTTTATACTTCTTCTTGTTGTTAGGCACCATTGAGTTGGTACTGAAACTGATAAAGTCTTTATGAATGAAACACTGTCTAGTCCTGAGCCAATTTCACAATCATTGCTATGCTTGAGTCATTGCTGTTGTTAAGTGTTGTCGAGTCAATTCCAACTCATAGTGACCCTACATAGGACTTCCAAGGAGAGACTGTTGAGTTTGAATCACCAACTTTGCAGTTCAAACCGACCTTGCAGCCTAGTGCATTAATCTGCAGTGCCACACCAGGACCCCACTGTTGTTGTTAAGCACTGTTAAATTGGTTCTAACTTATAGTGATCCAGGGCACACGAGACCAAAACACTGCCAGGTCCTGCACCATCCTCATAATCATTGTTATGCTTGAACCCAATGTTGCTGCCAATGTGTCAATCCATTTCCTTGAGGATCTTCCTCTCTTTTTCGCTGACCCTCCATTTTACCAAATATGATGTTCTTCTCCAGGGACAAGTCCTTCCTGACAACAAGTCCAAAAACAAGAGACAAAATCTCAACATTCTGCCTATACTTTTTCCAAGACAAATTTGTTCTTCTGACAGTCAATGGTACTTTCAACATTCTTTACCAACACCATAATTCAAATGCATCAATTCTTCTACAGTCTTGCTTAGTCACTGTCCAATTTTCACATGTCAAGGCTTAGGATCAGGCGAATCCTAGCCCTCAAACTGACATCTTTGCTCTGTAAAATTAAAAGAGGTCTTTTGCAGCCAATTTGTCTAATACATTGTTTGATTTGACTGTTGCTTCCAGAAGCACTGACTGTGAATCGAAGCAAAATGAAGTCTTTGAACAACAACCAACTTTTCTCTATTTGTCATGATATTATTTATCACTTGGTTCAGCTGTGAGGATTTCCATTTTCTTTACATTGAGGTACAATCCATACTGAAGGCTGTATATAGTCTTTGATATTGATCAGTAAAATGTTTCAATTCCTCTTGGCTTCCAGCAAGCAAGGTTGTGTCAACTGCACATCACAAGGTTATTATTAATGGGTCTTCCTCCAATCCTGATGCCAGGTTCTTCTTCATAGACTCCAGCTTTTCAGATGATTTGCTCAGCATACACACTTAATAGTATGGTGAAAGAATACCACCCTGGCACACACGTTTCCTGATTTCAAACTATTCAGTATTCCCTTGTTCTTCTGGAACAACTGCCTCTTTGTCTATGTACAAGTTCTTCATGAACACAATTAAGTTTCTGGAATACCCATTCTTCACAATGTTATGCATAGTTTATTGTGATCCACACAGTGAATGCTTTTGCATGATCAATAAAACACAAGTGAACATCTTTCTGTTAACCTCTGCTTTCTTCCAGGATCCATATGACATCAGCAACAGCCCTTGTTCTACGTTCTCTTCTGAATCCAGCTTGAATTCTTGGCAGCTACCAGATCGATGTACTGCTGTAACCATTTTTTAATTTTTCTCAGCCAAATTTTTATTTGCATGTGATATTAAACATGCTGTTTAATGATTTTCACATTCCATGGAATGGACACAATATGGATCTCTTCCAGTTAGTTACTGGCCAGGTAGCTTTCTTCCACCATCTCTTGGCACAGATGAGTGAGCGCCTCCAGTGTTGGATCAGTTTATTGACACATTTCAGTTTGTATTCCATCAGTTCCTGAAGCCTTGTTTTTTTTTGCCACGCTTTCAATGCAGCTTGGACTTCTTCCTTCAGGACCACTGGTCCTTGATCATATGATCGCTGTCTTGAAATGGTTTGGCATCGACCAATTCTTTTTGGTACTAACTCTAACCAAAATGCACAGAAAGAAGAGTTTCCATAGGAACACTTCTCACAAACTCTTGTCACGTACAGCAGTACTACGGTGATTTTTTAACCATTTAGAAATACTGGAGATGTAGAATAAACATTGGACTGCTAATCATAAGGTCAGCAGTTCAAATCCACCAGTCTTTCCACAGGAGAAAGAGGAGGCTATCTGCTCTTGTAAAAATCTAAAGCCTCGGAAACCCTACATGGGGTCTGAGTCAGAAATGAGTTGATGATAGTAGGAAAAGGAAAAGTGGAGAGGAGAGGTGAATAGCCATCAAACAATTCGAGCCTTCATACCTCTTGTGACTACTTGGAGTTTGAAGTAAGGTGGGCAAATGGTCCATGAGGTCTCTGAGATCCTTGGCTCGTGCGAATGGGACCAGCTGAGACAGGACCTCCTGATGTAGCTTGGACTCTGAGGAGCCATCAGCACTGAGAAGTCTGCTCTGCAGTTGCTTCCACAGGGTCTTCCTCAAGACAGGCGTGACAGCAGAGGACACTGGGACAGCGACAGAGAAACAGGTAGTAGCACCCAGTGGTGTACTGGAGCCAAGTCTTTCCAGCTCCAAGAGCTGCTATTATAATTTTAGGACTCTTGCAGGTCAGTTGGTGTCACACTGGCACCTTAAAATCATCTGTGGCAGAGTAGTATTTACATCGGGGCGGGGGTGCCTGGCCCATGGGCCACATAAGGCCCATGAAATCATCTGGTCTGACCCTGCCAAGGTCATCGCAGTTCCAATCATCACATTGTTGTTGTTGTTAAGTGCCGTCGAGTCGGTTCCGACCCATAGCGACCCTGTACAGGGTTTCCGACAGGGTTTCCGAGGGTGTAAATCTTTACGGGAGTAGAAAGCCTCATCTTTCTCCCGCGGAGCTGCTAATAGTTTCGAACCGCTGACCTTAAGGTTCGCAGCCCGATTCGTAACCACTACGCTACCAGAGCTCCTTCAATCATCGTCACATTAGGGGTGGGTTAATTAAATAGTGGACCAAATACAGAAGACTAGTTTTTAAGCTGTTAATTTTGTATGGCCTGAGAATGATGTCATAAATTTTGGCAGTAAAAAATGTTCCCCACCTTGAATTTACACCATGGAAATTGGCATGTGGTATAAATTAGCCTTCCCCCAGAGCCAGTGGTTGAACATTTACCAGCATTGTCACTGGTTCTATGTCATCAGCCAGAACCAACAGATATGCCCACCCCGTGGGTCCTAGGTGTGACCCCTTCCTCTAAGGTTACAGTAACTCTGTGAGCATCAATGTTCAGGACCTGAAGGGATTTAGTCTCTAAAGGAATGGGTTCATAAAGAGGTGTACAGAGAGCCAACTACTGGAAACCCACTCCTGGGGGGCTGGGAGGGAGGGGACTGTTATTTCTTTTTTAAACCTGTCATGGTGAGCTTCTGTTAAGGGTGAAGGAAAAAGATGACAATGGATAATGGTGATGTTTGAATAACATGACAAACACAGTTCATGTATCACTGAAACGCAAATGTGAAGAATGTTGAAATCGCAAAAATGTCTTTACATACAATTTGTTAAGTGCCACCAAGGCGTTTCTGACTCATAATGACCCTGTACAGGGTTTTCAAGTAGTGGCTAGTGAGTTTGAATCAGCAACCCTATGGTTCAAACCAATCTTGTTGTCCAGTGTTTTATCCCACAGCACCACACCAGGACTCCTGGTACATACACATCTACCACAGCTTAACATTACCAAAAACATTTCTTTCTCATCACTGACATGAAGTTATACAAAACAGAGACACTGAAGTGAGTGACAAATCACTTATGTTACACTAAAAAATAAATCAATTCGAGGAGCCTGGTGTGGCACTGTGGGTTAATGCAAAGCCATTTGAACTGCAAGGTTGGTGGTTCAAGCTCACCAGCTGCTCTTCGGAAACCCTATACAGGGTCGCTATGGGTTGATACTGACTCGATGGCACTTAACAACAAAAAAATGTGGGGGAAGAGGAAGGATGATCTGCCCTAGGTCAGTATCAGCTTTCCAAAATTTCTGCTCCAGATGGCAAAGTTGAGGTGGTAACATGGGGACACATTGGCCCTAAATGATTCCCTCAACTTGACAAGATGCATTCCTGGTTCTTGTCACTACCCTCTTGTGTCAGATAATTCAGTCAATGGGTCACAAGGAGCCATACATTAAGACTTAAGGTGGAGAGGCTGCAGGGCTCAGGGAGGGGTGTTGAGTCAGGATTTCTGCATCTTCAAAGCTGGGTCTGACACTGGACAGAAAGTAAGCCATACCCTAGGATATGAGCATGCAGTCCACCTCAGGTGAACTGTCCCTCCAGGTGCCCAAAGCCAACCCCTACCTCCTTTAGGGCGTGTGAAGCATCCTTGAGACCTGCACTGGAGGTACGTGTGGACGAGCGGGAGAAAGGCATCGAGATCCTCCTGTAGGACAAGCCTGGAACCAGCCTGCAGGCACCAGAGCTCAAACCGCAGCAGGTGAGTAGAGCTTTGCTGAAGGAGCAAGGCAACTATGTGCAGGGCCACTGGTGTCCGCTGGGCCAGGCAGTAGTCAAGGAGGCCCACCCCAACCACGGGGGCCAGCTCAGGGTCTCTCTGCAAAGTCTGGAGGAATACTGTGTCCAGCTCTTCCACGGCCAGTGTGGGGAGCAATACCGCCAGACCCCTCACATACTCAGAGGCCCACAGGAGCTCACCACTCAGCAGCTGGTCCTGGGGTCTGCTGGTCAGCAACTGGACCAATGTCTTCCCAAGAACGTTCAGATGTCTTCCCTGTCCAGGGGACTTTGAGGGCTGCTGGATCACCAGGCAGGTCTTGGGCAGGCCCAACAGGGCCAGGGTGATCTCTCGAAGCTGGCTGCCCCCCATGTATGGATGCAGGGCCTGCAAGGCCTTCACTTGTGGTGGGTCCTTTGGTGGCGTCATGGCCAGGCCTGCCCTCCTGACTTTCAGCTCCGTCAGAACACTCTGGGTGATAGCCTCCGAGTACCTACTGAATAAGCCCTGCTGACCGATGCTCTGGAGGATTGGGGCGCTCGTGACCAGCAGCTGTAGGACCCCTGCACTTAGATGGGCTGCCAGGCGCTTCACCAGGATGGGGCTGAGGGTGTGTGGGGGCAGGGCCTGCCGCTCCAGGGCCAGGAACCAGTTGTCCAGCGTGGGGTGTCTGAGGATGGCCACCAGCACCTCCTCCAGTGTCTAGAGCAAGCACAGCACAGAGGTCACCATGGCACCCAGGGCAGGTAAGTATCAATGATGGCCACTGGCAGCACTACAACCCAATACCCTCGTGCCAGAGATGCCACTTCACCCCAACCCCACCCCAGGCACAGCTGTTTTTCAATCATGATGTTACTACCAACTTACTCATCTCTCTCCCACACACAACCGTGAGTACCATGGGGATCAGGCTGTGACCTGGTCCAAGCTCTGCAGAGCCCACTGTGTACCTAATGAACTGATTGAACCAGTTTACTGTGCAGCAAATTGCTCTCCAGGGTCAGTTCCTGGGATATGGGCCAAGTAGAAATATCAGAATGAGATTAAGGTCAATCAGCCCATATTTAGCAGCCTTGCCCTCTGAAGTATATCTGAGTTAGGAGTTTGTCCAGACAATTGGGCAGGCAACCAGGGCTTAGCTGAGAAAACATATCTGAGAAAAGGATATTCACCATCCAGAACAGAAGATGATTCTGCCACCACTTTTAGAACACTGAGCCTCAAGTGCTCCCGAGAAATGAGTTCTGACATGGTCAGTTGAGTTTAAACCACTGGTCAGAAAACAGTCAAGTAGCCTTTGCAAGGTTAGAGAAAAATTCTAGTTTGGTAGTTCTAAGAAGCCGTGCTAAGTATAATTCCTAGCCAATTTAGTTACACCATTCCTCAGGGCCAGTGATAAATCTTCCATAAATCATTCTTAAAGAAAGGAATGAGAAGTCTACCACACTTTCCCACCTATTGCTGCTAATTTTTAAAAAGTTTTTTAAAAAGTACATTATGACTGAGAACTCTAGATTCATGGGAAGAGAGGGACTGAGAGCTGGTGGCCAAGAGGCAGACTTGCAGAATGTGCCCCCTTTGGTGGTGTACATTATTATATACACCTGAGTGTTTAAAAAAAAAAAAGAGCTAAAATGAATATAGAGAAATAATGTTATCTGATGGTACATGGAGGGGATTATAATCATTGTAATTAAACAAGGTGTATGATTTGTTGAATGTAAAACTGATGATCTGCCCTGTAAACTTCCACTCAATCCACAATAAAAACTTTACAAAAAGCACATTATGGGGCAGGATTGCTTAATCCCACTCTGGCTATTAGCTAGTCCACACACTACTGCCTGTCTGTCTGTTGTATGGTGGTGGCTTACATGTCACTGTGATGCTGGAAGCTTTGTCACTATTTTTCAAATACCAGCAAGGGTCATCCATACTGCACAAGTTTCACGGGGAGCTTTCAAAATAAAAGAGACTGGAAGAAGGCCTGATGGTTTGCTCCTGAAAATCAGCTGATGGACCCTAACAGAAACCTGTCTGATCCAGTGCTGGAAGATGAGCATCTGAGGTTGGAAGGCCACAAGAATGGACAAGAGCGTATCAGCCATCACCAAGATGATTCAGGATCAGACGGCTGTCTGCACATGCGGTCATGAGTTGGAACCAAATTAACAGTAGTTATAACAACGAAGGCAACAAATCTGCGCCAGAGAGTTAACTCGGATGAGAGGAAGGAATCCATGTATTTAGACAGTGAAACAAGAAATGTGCTTGTTTCCTGAACCCAGTAACACAGGTCAGATGGTAAATGCAGGATTAAATTAAGCAGCCACTTCAGCAGACAAAAGGCAAGAGAGAAAGGGTGTGTTCTCCTCCTCAGAGCGGCACACCCTGATGAACTGACTGTGAAGAGCCTTATGGGGCCTTTCTTTGTCAGCATGGGCTACAACTACGTACAGAGATAATACTCACATTGAGTCTCCAGCGGTACACCTCCCACAGCACCAGGGCTAACTGCAGTGAGGGTAGGGGTGAGTGTGCTCACTGTGTGTTACACTGTGCCCATCCTGGGGTGGGGTCACTTCTAATAGCTTCTCCTGTTTTTCTGCATTGTCTTACACAAGTCAGATATGAGGGGAAGTGAGTCTCTATGACTTTTCACAAAGACTCTGCAGAGGAAAGTGGTGGTACCTTGTCGCTGGCCAGCTCCAGGGAGGCCAGGGACTCCATGTCCAGGAGGAGGTCAGCTTCAGCCTGGGTGGTCTCACATCTCTGCCGGTTCTGAGCATCTAGCTGCTCACAGTGAGTAAGCAGGGTCTGGAGGAGATCCATGAAGAGCTGCAGGAGGGGTGGCCCAACACTTCTGCCCAGCTGTGAGGATGAGAATGTGACCCCTTAGTGCTTGGCAGGGCTAGTAGTCACCTGAACCTGACTGTCCAGTCCCTGTGTTACCAAAGGTGCAATCATCACAAGAGCAGAAAACAAGACTCAAGAAGGGAGGCAGCATTGAAAACTGCAATTCCCTCACACAAACTCATTGCCCTCGAGTCAACTCCAACTCACAGCGCCTCTATAGGACAGAGAGGAACTGCTCTATAGAGTTTCTGAGACTGTAATCTTTATGGGAACAGGCAGCCTCATCTTTCTCCTGTGGAGTGGCCGGGGGTTAGTACCACTGACCTTGCAGTTAGCAGCCCAATGCTTAACCCACCATGTCACCAGAGCTCCTTTCCTTTACACACGTTGCTGTGGCCAGTGCCATTGAGTGCACCAACTCACACCAACAAAACCCTGTACAGGGTTTCCGAGGCTTGTAAATCTTTGAGGGAGCAGAAAGCCTCATCTTTCTCCCATGACCTTATACATGTTGTTGTGAAGTACCGTTGAGTCGGTTCCGACCCATAGCGACCCTGTATAGTTTCCAATGAGCAGCTGGTGAGCTTGAACCACCGACCCTGCAGTTCAAACGGCTCTGCAGTCTGGCACATTAACCCACATCGCCACACCAGGACTAGTACTTGCAAAATGTCAACAACTTCAAAGCCACTTTTCAGAAAAAGACTTTGCTGCCTACATCTTGATATGATACAAAGGGTTATTTTGACAAAAACAAGGGACTAGGGCCCATCTCAAGGAACTCTGGATGTGTGGTGGGTTACAAGTTGAACTGCTAACCACTTCTTAGGTCAGCAGTTCAAATCGACCAGCAGCTCTGTGGGGAAAAGATCAGGTTTTCTGTTCCTGTAGAGTTAGTCTCAGAAACCCTATCCAAGGTAACTATGAGTTGGAACTGACTCAATGGCATACCACCACCACCAAGCCCAATCTCAAAGCCTAAACTCATGATCTGTGAACCACAGTGGGGACAAGCTTACCAATGAGCTGAATGAATCACCTTATAAAGAGGACAGAAGGGAGAGGCTGGCCCAACTGTGATAACAATTTACTTTAAGAAGCACCTTGCTCTAATTATGAGTCTTGGGTGGTGCAAACAGTTAAGTGCTTGGTTGCTAACTGAAAGGGTGGAGGTATGAGGCAACCCAGAGTCACCTTAAATGAAAGGTCTCATGATCTACTTCCAAAAACTCAACTGTTTCTCCGCAGTTGCTCAGAGATCTGCCTTGCATCTGCTCCCAGGAGGTGAGGTAGCCCAGGTGGGGAAGGCACGCGGAGTGAGCAGACCAGGTCCCTGAGCTCCAGGCTTGCCTTGTAACCCAGCTCTGTCAGCTCGTAACTTCCTCCTATGTGGCTGGGTCAACAATGCCACAGGAGCCTCTTCTCAGCTCCCAATTTGTTGCCATCAAGCCAATTCCAACTCAGTGATCCTATAGGACACAGTAGAACTTCCCATAAAGTTGCTAACGCTATACATTTTATTATGGAAGCAGACGACATTTTTCTCCGCGGGTTAGCTGGTGGATTCAAACTGCTGACCTTTGGGTTAGCAGTCAAGCACTTGATTACTGTGCCAGCAGGACCCTTTCCTCCTAGCTCCAGGATTCTAAATGCCATTGCTCAGTCTGGCCCCTGAGAAACCCAAGTTCTCTGGAAGCGGATGTGCAGGGGCAGTGCTGACCAGGCTGAAATTCTCCACAGTGGTCCTGAGGTAGAGCAGCAGCTGCTTCACGGAGCGGAGGACCTGGGGCAGCGGGAGCTGTGGGATGGCCGCCTGCAGCTGCGCCTGAACAGCGTGATCCAGGAGCGCGTCCTTGCTTTCGTAGGCTGTCTTCAGCAAGGCGGCAAAGGAGGAGTCTGAGGAAGGAGCATGGGCTGCGGTGCTGTCCAAGGTCTGAAGAGGCTGCCGGAGAGGAGGAAAAACATGTCTCTACAGAGGACAAAGGATCATCAAGGGATGTTTCACAATAGCCACTTATAGTAAAAAAATGTGTGGTCATGTGACACTCTAGTAAATAAATAAAGTTCTAATATTATCAGTCACACAATTTTACCTGAGTGTCTCAAGGCTGACAGAGTTCAAGGACACAGAATTGAGAAGCGTTAGGGATTTAAGTTGTGCTACCCTTCCCACGCCCCCAAATGTGTGTTGGGATCCTAACTCCTATGCCTGTGAATGCAATCATCATACATGAGTAGGGTAGGTTCTAAAATCTCATCACCTCTGACTTATAAAAAATCAGAATGGGTACAGGTATGCAGACACAGGTATGCACACACAGAAGACAGATACCATGTGAGGATCATCAAGGGGTCAGGGAACACCTGGGGCAACCAATAAGGAAGTTATCAAAAACTAAGATCCTGATTTGGCCTTGTAGTCTCCAGAACTGTGAGAAAATAAAAATTCTGTTCTTTAAAGCCACCCACTGTGGTACTTCTGCTACAAGAGCACGAGGAAGCTACAACAAGAGAGTCACAGACTTATGCAGTCAGGAGCTGCGATAGACAGAGAAGACAGGTCACTGTTGCGAGCACTGGTGACTGGACACTTTGGGAAATGATCCTTCACCAAGACCCAGGCCTTCTAAAAGGCCTCCAGGAGCCTCGGTCAGAATATCCTGAAAGGATTAAGACAAAGGATGAAATTAACTCTGGAGTTGTTAGGCTTCAAACTGAAGCTTTTCGTTTCTTCTAACATCATTCCAAAACTGCCTTCTTTGATCTAGCTCACATGGTTTATATGTGACACTCAACTTCCTAGGGCTAATGAGACTCAAGGCAAGGTGTGCCCAGCGTGGTCTCACAAGCAGCGGCAACACAGGCCTCCCTGCAGACCTGATGAGGTTCAGTGAGCTGGTCTATGGTGCCCGCTGAAGTGTGAGCCCCCTGCTGTCCCTCACACAACAGAGAGCTGGCAGTCGTACTCTGTGCACTCATCAGGTGTCACCATGCACAGTGCAGAATCCTGACTCCACCCCTGGCTGCTGCTGATGGGAAATGGGCTGTGCCAGAGTCCCCATCTATACAAAAACGAGGCTAGTAAGTCTAGGCCTACTTCTCAGAGTCATAAGGATTAAACAACTTAAAATCACACGCAGCACACTTGGTATAAAGCCTAGCAAACAGTATATTGTGCAGTCAGTGTGGGACACCGTCACCAACACCACAAAACAAAGAGGTCCACAACTGCCAGCTTTTTTAAGTGCAGCAAAAACTGAACGAAAAAAATAAAAACGCACACTGTCAAATTAATTTCTTATGTCACCCAACATTTATAAATAGTCTGTATTACGGTGCTAACCACAAGATTGGTGGTTCATATCCATCAGCCACACCCTGGGAAAAGGATGAGGCTCTCTGCTCTCATACAGAATTAGTCCCAGAAACCCAAGAGAGAAGTTCTGTTCTATAGGGTTACTGAGTCACAATCAGCTAAAGGGCTGCTGGGTTGGCGGCTGGGCTTGTTAGAGTCAGTACTATAGTCCATCGTCCTCCTCCCTGCCCCCCATTACAGGAATATAGTCTCTGAGTGAAGACTGGTAAATCTTGAGGAAAGGCGTATGCAGAAGAGAGTCAAAAGGCAGGGACAAACAGTAAAAGGCAATCCCGTCCAAAGCAGTGATTAGGCAATTTTCATTACAATGGAGCCAAGGGAAATCTGATTTTGCTACATCACTGAGTCCTTTGTGTTCCGCCACATCAGTTGAGTACACTAATACCAATAAGAATTCTTTCTGACACAGGAGAAATGAAGGTGGTGAAAAAACTCACGCTGTGAGCTGTACAGCTATAAAACTGCACAGCTGTGTGCAGTCAGGTGGCCATGGGAGAAGGCACTAAGTTTTCTAGGAAAACTGCGACGACAGCTGGGCTCCACACTCACCCAGGCCTCGCGGGCTTGCTCTGGGATCCAGAGGCTGTAGTATCTGTGGAACCGGCTGAGTTGCTTGCACTGGGGTGAGCCTGAGGACTCGGACTTGTCATAAGCCTGAAGCAGAAGACACAGAGCCAGGGGGTCTCTCTGGGTGTGGAGGAGGTCCGTCAGCACCGCTGTCAGATATGCCACGATGCTTGCTCCTGCAAAGGATGAGACGTGAGTGAGGAGGTGTGCAAGAGCCCCTTAGATGCTTCATCAGCTATCCCTCCTCCCACAGTATTCAAGACCCAGAAAAAGGCCACAACTACACTGGAAGACAGATGCTACCACCGCAGAGTGGACTGTTGTTGTTGTTGTTAGCTGCTGTCAAGTCAGCCCCCATTCATGGCAACTTCATCACAACATAACAAAATGCTGTCCTGTGTCATCCCCAAGATTCATGGTGACCCTATAACTAAATGTTTGTTATCTGCAGGGTTTTCACTGACCAACTTTCAGATGTAGATTGCCAGAAAGTTCTCCCTACTGTTAGTCCGAAAGCTGCTCTGCCAAAACCTGCTCAGCATCATAGCCACAAGCAAGCCTCCACTGACAGATGGGTGCACTAGCAGACTAAACTAGGCCTCTTTGTTTAAAACATATAGCGCACAGTCAGACTCCAAGTCTGGAGGCTCAGTAGTGGAAATCCAGGCACAGAAAAGGTAAGGCAAAAGCTGCCTAGGTGGCATCAGGCTAGCTGCTTCTAATCCTCTTCCTTGGCACACAAATCTCCAAAGTTGGAACCACATGACTGATTTAATCACTGGTGCTTGTGGATTATTGCACTGGACTGCAAAGTCAGTTTGAACACAAGGTCAGTGGTTCAAGTTCACCAGCCGCTCCTCGGAAACCCTATACAGAGTGGATCGCTATGGGTCGGAGCCAACTCAATGGGCCTGGCCATAGCACCTCCTGCTGACTGTTCACTCTCTCTCTCTCTCCCCCAGTTCTGCACTAATCCTGAGGAGCCAGAGGATGAGTACTGAGCTAGGGTGGCAGTGGCAGCCTGGGAACCAAAGAGGCCATTGTCTGGGGAATAAGAAGTCCAAAAAGTGTAGCCGGCATGAAGAAAACTACTCGATCTGTATCTATCTACAAGGTGCTCAAGTATGTGCACTCCAACATCAGCATCTCTTCCAAGGCTATGAGCATCATGAACTCTTTTGTGAACAATGTGTTTGAGCGGCTGGCTGGAGAGTCCCCCAGCTGGCCCAGTACTCTGGCCATACCACCCTGACCTTCCGGGAAATACAGACGGCCATGCGCCTGCTGCTGCTGGGGGAGTTGTCCAAGCCTGCCTTGGTGTCTGAGGGCCATCACCAAGTACATTAGCTCCAAATGAGCCAAGCCAGGGCATAAATAAAGGGTGAGCTGCTAAAAAGCTTATCTACATGATGAGAGTCGCCTGGACCTAAGCCAGTTCCTGGGGAACAGTCAGGCTGGGGATTAACTGACCTGTACGTATGACAAGGCCATTAAGGCACTGAATAGGTTGGGCATGTTACTGCAGCAAAGCCTGCACCCTTCTGATCAGTTAGGCCACTGGTACCTGTGTGAGCAATTCCTTGGGCACTTGACAAATAAGGACTCATACTCCTAGCATCAAGATATCTAAAATAAACACTAACACATGCTGGTGCTCTACTTGGTGTCCCTGAAGCTATCAAACACTGATTTCAGGTCCATCCCTCAAATAGCCAACTTCTCACCAGCCTCCCCACTCTCATGATTCTTATCCCTGTACTCGTAGCTCTTTCGGACTCCAGGCAATTACCACTTTGGTGGGTGTGAAATCTACTGCTCTAAGTTTCCAGCATGATTTCAAGAATCCCTGGCATGACTAACTCCTACTCCACATACACTAATCTGGTCTGATGCAGCTGGAACGTCCCAACCATACAAGATACCTGCTTTCTTTTCTGTCCCATGGAGCAACTTGTTCCTGGCCTCCAGGGCTGCAGGGACCACAGCACTGAATGGGAACGTGAGCAGGATCATGTCTTCATTCAGCGAGAACCCGATTTCCTCATCCAAGCCTTCACTACCCTCCACCAGGACATCCACCATGTCCAGGACATCTGAAACAGAAAAGGAGAAATGAAGTCACGAAAAGGATCCCACTGCAAAGAACCCCAGGGGGAGGGAGAAATGAGAGAACATTTGCAAAGAGAAAATATAAAATCTGAATTTTTCTTTGGGGAAAATGAGTAAGAAATTTCGTTATATCCTCCCAGAGGAAGACACTGCCTCTGTAAAGACTTAGGATCTTGGCCAACAAAATACTGCTTATTGAGCTGAGTTAACAGCCAGACTTTGGTCAAGAAGCACCCACCATTCCTAGCAGAACAGAATGTGTAATGAGGCAAGACTGAAGTCTACAGGGGGATGGGAAATTACCAACAATCCCTATGACCTCAAGTGATATTGAGAAGCCCAGGAACTTTACCCTGGACTCTCAGATGTGCCAAATCTGAGTAGCTAATTAGCATAGGTTAAAACACAGATTCTGGAGTATCTAGATTCAAACACTGCGCTACAGCTGCCTTACCTATAAAATGAAGATAATCGTATCTCTCTGTTAGGGTTGTTTAGGACCCTGGATGGCACAAATGGTTTGCTCTCAACTATTAACCAAAAGATCGGCAACTTAAATCCATCCAGCGATCCAACAGAAGAAAGACCTCGTGGTCTACTTCCTTAGATCATAAAGCAGTTCTACTCTGACATGCGGCATCATCATGACTCAGAACTGACTCAGGAGCAGTGGGTTACATTAAGGTAGGGCTGTTATGTGGTTTATATGAGTTAAGACTTATAGAGAACTTAGCACAGTACCTGACACACCATAAACATAGAACAAATGAAAATCAACACGGTAAACAAGTGCTGCACATGCTTCCCATTATATTAACAAGCACGGTAATTTTCATTTCCAGAAGAGAATGGTTCATGATACAGAGAGACTCTGTATGAAGGCAACCATGCAATTCTCGCTCTCTCTGTCCCTAACCTTCTGCTGTAGCTCAACCTTTAGAGCCCAAGCCACAGAGAGAGTGGGACATACCGTCGATATGGGAGATGGGGATGCTGACATCATCGGTGTCCTGCTTTGTCATTGTGGCTTGCAGGGTGCTGGCTTCTTGGACAAAATCAGATGCTTTGTCAGTGTATAAATATGGGTTTGCCACCAACGTCAATAAAACCTGTGCATGAAAAAGGCAAGTGCAAAACATATAGATGATCACAAGCAAAATGGAAAAAAGTAAAAAATGCCAGTGGTCAAAACACAAGAAAGCACTAAGATGTTAACAGTACTTAATAATAATTTTACTTCATTGTTTCAAGTACATAAATTTACTTCAATCATTTTATAGGAAAACCTTTGTGTTAGACTTTTGTAAAAAATCCTTTTTTAACATCACGTTCATTGCTCTGGGCTGTCAAGACAATTCTGACGCATAGCAACCTCACGTGACAGAAGAGAACTGTCCCATTGGACAAGACTGCAAAACAAAAGGTGAGCAGTTTAAGTCCATCAGTTACTCCATGGGAGAAAGATGAGGCTTCCTACTCCCATAAAGATTTACAGCCTCAGAAACACTATACGGTGTGGCTAGGAGTCAGAACCAACTCCAAGGCACTTAACAACTCTAACAATCTTTACAGAAGCAGGAATCCCAGTGTTTTTTCCTCCAGAGTGGCTGATGGATTTGAATTGCTGACCTTTCAGTTAACAATCAAACACTAACCCAATGTTCCATGATGACTCCTTATATTATGTGTTGCTGTAGCTAAGTGATGTCAAATAGGTACAGGGTTTCCAAGAGTGATTTGTGGGTTTGAACCATGAGCTTGTGGTTAGCAGTCCAGTGCTTATCTTATAGAGCCACACGAGAACTCCTATATCATGTCTGTGTTGTTGTTGTTAAGTGCCACAGAGTTGGCTCCAACTCATAGTGACCCTGTTGTATAGGGTTTCTGAGCAGCAGCTGGTGGGTTTGAACTGCTGACCTTGTGATTTGTAATCCAGCACTGATCCCACAGCACCACACCAGGAGTCTGGATGTGTTTGTTGTTGCTCAGTGTGGTCGAGTCAGTTCCAACTCATAGTGACCTTGTATAGGGTTTCCCAGGAGCAGCTAATGGGCTTGAACCTTACAGTTTACAGTCCAGTGCTGATCCTACAGTGGCACACCAAGAGTCTTACCATGTTTAGTACACCACTATTCCTTTGTGTAAGAACTCATTCTCAAGAAGTTAGGATACAATGAACTGTTCCCATTTCAACAGATCCTAAAACTAAGTAGGGAGTCCTGGTGTGGTGCTATCAGATAAGCCCTGGACTGCTAACTACAAGGTCAGCAGATCACACCTACCAGCCACTCCTTGGAAACCCTATTCAGGGTCACTGTGCTTTGGAACTGACTCAAATGCACTGAACAACAACAAAACTAAGTAGATACTAAAACTAACTCTAAGCAAGAATAAGGAACTCAGGTGGGAAGAGTCTTCTGCCTATAACTGA